TGTACGTGACACGTACAAACCATCAAATTGTTTGATGCAAGGAACGATAATGTTTTGTTTACTTGATACTAAAATCAGTTTTGTTTACACGTTTGACGACGATGCGCTATAAAAACCATAATGAAAATAAGCAAATGAATAAAATCAGTTGACAGACGACAGTTGGACGCAAACTGACAAAAAAAACGACGAATTCAAAAATGAATCAGAAAGTCAAAAATCAAAAAACTTCATGCATTCATTCACGCACACCCAACCAGCTATAGTCATCATGCATTATCCGCTATCTGCTGCTGCTGCTGCGTCATCGTCAGTGTCATCGTCATGAAGCAAAATCCATCCGAAACGCCGCCCGCCCTTCTCTTCAAAATACAATCAATCCGCCGTACCATTGCATTCAAAATCAAACTCTCATTCATTTATTTTATTTGTTTGTTTACATTTGTTTTGTTTGTTGTTTGAATGCGAACATTGATGCTGGCTGCTTTTGCTGACGTTCGTTCTCATATTGTTTTATTGCGATCTCTTCCCCTCGAGCGTCATCATCATTATCATTAATATTGTTGTTCTCCTGCGCTGTCCGCCCAGGCGTTTTTTTGTTGCTCTTTACCGCTCCTCGAATTGTTTATTCAGCAGAATTTTCTTCCTACAAATAAACGTTGAACAAATAAACGTTCACAATTTTCCACAGTTTCAGTCGAACAATTCATCAATTGTATCGAATCTATTAACATCATCAGCAATAAATTGCTGCTGATTGGTGATTGTTCGATAGTCAGTTTTGAAAAATGACTCAGTTGAAGTATCGCTGGTTTAGGCAATATCTTCTGATTTCATTAGTGAGCCGCTCAGGCATATTAAGAACTTATGTTGCGCTTACAATTAGCCACATAATGTGAGCGAATAAACGAGTATTTTGAGCTTGTTTTCATCATTGTATTGATGTCAATATTAGGTTTTGATTTGGATCAACCTCACACTAACTATTACCCTTCCCTTTTGTTCGTTCTTCCATTTCAACTGACATTTCTTCGCTTTTTTTNAAAAAGTGTTTTCGTCCTTTTTCACTTCATTATTTGAGCTATTCATTCCATTGAGCAAGTCAAAAACTATACTAATGTTCTTATTTTTGTTCCTTATTGCATCATTATCTTCATTACAGTCATCCTCACCGTCTTTAATCTTCATCATCAAAATCGCTAGTCGTGTTTACACGTTTTCGTGTTCTACTCCTCAAAATTGCACAGTTCGCTGAATTCTCTCATTATTGTTTATCTGATTCTTGATTCATTCACAACTGTGCCCAATATTACAGAACAGAATTCATTGTCGCTTATCATTATCATATCATTACATGATATATCATTACATTTTGATCAGAAACGCCCACTATGGGTGGAGGTCTCATGGTCACGGATTTATAACAATTATCTGTGAAATTCAAAGTGACTCGATTTTGAAATAGTTTACAGTAATTGTTCATCGTATATTAAAAATGTTTAATGTTTGTTATCTTGCAGAATCATTTCAGTTTGAGCACCTACATTTAGGACTTTTTTAAGCTCTTTTTCATCTGTGATCATTCAGTTCGTTTGCAAAAAGAGGGTTATACGTGTTGATACGAAAGAATTTATTGCGACTTTGCTGGTGCGGTTGTAGGTCATGATAATGAGCGTTCGTAATTGCATTGTTTTTGGCGATTAAACTCAGCAAATGTTGCACTTTTTATCATCGCGCACCAATCAAATACCAATGGCGATGATTTAGAGGCACTTCATCATTTCATTCAGTTCACATTGTTACCTTCTTGTTGATTTCAATTTCAATGCCATCTGACTCTGATCCATTATCAATTTCACATCAACAGGCGACTCGGTTGTTGACCATAACAAAGTTCACATAATAATTCCCTCAACTGTACGAAAAATTCCATATCAGGATGCTTAGCGATAACTAATTAGAACTGGCATCTAATTTCGCTCCGTTCTGCATTTGGTCGTGCTGAAACTTATGATGCCATCCGAAGTAGTTCTCAAGGAGCTAACCGTTTAGCCGTTCGCTGTTGCAAAGATGTTTTGGTATTGTTATGGTTGGTGCTGTCCTTGCCGAGTTCATTGCTCTATTAGTGCGACTCCATTTTTTTTCAATCATCTAACAGCAGACGGTTTTGACAAGAGCAGCGTGTCTGGTCTGATCTGGTTTCACCACCAACAACAACAACAGCTATGCAATATCAATTTAAATGATAAAAAAGATTGATTTTTTTTTGTTTTTCGAGAACGTTTCTTCATTCGCTTTTCCGTTCGCTCTTCCACTCCGTCTAAAACGAGGGAGTAAGACGAATGAGAAAGTGAAAAACCGAATGAAAATTCTCTCAGCTAGCCAACCCATCATCCTGCACGCAACACCATCATTTACATTCATTCAGTGACAACAAACGGCATTGTTATTTGTTTGTTTGTTTGTTTATTATTATTATTGCTTATGTTCATTCTATCTCATCTTCTGAAATTCTAGCAAACTATCTGAATGAAGAGAATTTCAACTTAACAATGAAAAGTACCAAGCGAAAAGTGAACAATGTCATGTGAAGAGTCAAAAACCACAAAGTTTCCCTCACAATTCACTCAGCACAGTAGTGACGCTAACCGTGGCTCACTCACACTTTTCAACGACTAGTGTTGTTGTTTGTTCATGATCTCAGTGTTATCCATAATCTCAGTCATTACAAAGACTGATTCATATCTATTCATTTCATTATCATTTGTATATTCTCCTTATTCCCAACATATTTCATTGAAAAACTTTCATTCATCAAACGAAAGCTATCTGGATTGTTCTGAAAAATGTCGTTGCCAATTTAACTCGGAAACCGAGGTACTCATGAACACGAGATCGGAACGAAGGCCATGCTTGTCCAGTGGCTTTTATGGGTTCAATTTCGATGGTGACTTCAATTTCAATCGCAACTCAGATTTGAACTGAATGTTAGCCTCCTATGGACTAATAATAAACACAAAAATATCTCTCGTTTCTGGTACCTTCTTGTAGCAACATGAGCGTGCACTTTGCTGTCACCCAATTCCCGAACTCACATTTCATTAATTCAATTTCATCATATAAGTAAGTATTCTAGTAACTCGCTGAAGAAACATTCAAGCTGTTTCACTTGACCAGCTAAATATACCTCCGAGAAAATTGCGTATTTGCGATTATCAACGATGAGATCAGTTAGTGCCGTTTTGAATTCTAAAAAATGTAGAATGCTGTTAGCAACTGATAAATCCGAATCTGTTCTGATTCTACTCAGCTGCAGTTTTATTCTTTTCCAAATACATTCAACACTACACACGCATCATGCTATTCGGCCGCAATTTCTGCTGATGTGATTGTGATTACCGTAAAGTATTTGTGTAGGTGTACAATGCACAATGTAGTCCAATACAACAACAATAACAATCTGTCATCATATCTAACACAATAAAATATTATCCATTCAATATTATATTCATTGTCTAATGATTGATTTGGATGAATTATTCTCATCAGTTGAACCGGCCGGTTGCATCGCAGTCCGTTTCGATCTTTTCGCTTAAAATTTCATTAGTTCTTCTGACAATGAGTAATATTTTCCCAATCAGATTACCCTATTGCAAATATATCCGAGAACTCATCCAGGAAACGGAAGACACCATATTGCGCATATTATCATGAAAATGAACATGAAAATTTGAACTTTTCACATCTATTCATCATGATCTATCACGTTCTCTATCAATCGTTACTTATTACAGCAAAGCAACCGTTGTCATTTGAGAGCATTTCGTGTTCCGCTTCTACTTTTGGTAATCATTAAAACGAAATGCAAAAAATGTTGGAATCAACTAATTAATGTTATCATAACATTTACGTGATAAGTTCTCGTCGGGCAATACGATAAATATCACGTAACAGTCCGCGACAGCAGGAAGGCAAAGTAACATGCAATAACGTTTCATGTCATCACCACTAAATGTCCAATGGGTTTTCACCGCTTTTTCAAGTTATTGTTCACACTTCCTTAACCGCAGAGGACATTCTGCTTAGTTCTGTTTGGGGCTTACACAAAGGTGACCATCCTGATATGGGATTTCACATTCGTATATTCATTCATTTTTCGAAAGGGTTTCCTTTTCAAGCTGGAAAAGGCATGAGTTTGAGCTCAGTATTAGATTCATCCAATGAGCACTAATCGTGAGTATTCGCTGATCGCGAAACACTGGCGAGATATTGGAGCATGTGAGTTGCTTCATCATAACAGTGATCTACCTCATTACTGTTATGATCTTGCATGCCACTCTCATATTACGCCTCTTCTGTACCGTATTATGACACGATGGACGGAGTTCGGTCTTGAAGTTGAAGTTTTGAAGTAATCATTTAATCGTGTG